AGATAGATAGATAGATAGATAGATAGATAGATAGATAGATAGATAGAAGCAATAACCACAATATCAAGAACAAACAACAAACAAACAAAAACCATGAGTCCTCTTGTTGTTAGCTGTGTGAATTCTTCACAGGAAAATGGATCTCAGCAGTGAGTGTGTGCTCCTGTATCTGTGTGTGTGTGTGTGTGTGTGCACTCGTGATGTGTTCATGTGTGTGTCTGTCTGTATGTGTTGTGTGTGTCTCTCTGTGTGCTCATGTGTGTCTGTGTCTGTCTGTGTGTTTGTGGTCATGTGTGTGTGTGTGTCTGTGTGTTTGCTGTGAAGCACCAGCTGACCTTGAACTCAAGCTCCTCCTGCTTTAGCCCCATGAATGCTGAGATCACAGGCATGTGCTGCCATACTGACTAAGCTCAGCATTATTCACAAGGGAGGCAGAATCGGGATCTTCAACATTCAAAGAATGCTAGAGTGGAGAGAGAACTTGAGCTCTATGTTCCTCCTCACTTCCTGGTAGGAAGTGGAGGCTGAGGAGGATGGAGGGCTTGCCCCAGGCCAGTTGATGACAGAAGAGGGTCAGATGATCTGGGATCATTCCACAGCCTGTGTGACTGTGGTTGCTCCCACCTTTCAAAACCTGATCATTGCTTAACTCTGGAAAATCCCGTGTTGTTTCTTTGAACTTCGTGGTTGTCAAGGTAAACATCTTTAGCCCCCGTGACAGTCAGAATCATTCTAAATCAGTGGGAGGAGGGATGGAGAGATGCAGAGGCCTGTTGGCTTGGGAGCTTTGCTTGGGCTTGAATCTCCATGGGAAGCTTTGCTCTTGTGTGCTGGGAGGTGATAGACCCTCGTCATTACATGAGTTGAGTCCCTTGGAGGTGTTGCACAGATGCTCAGTCGGGTGTGTGCGACTTCTACCAGTAACCCTCAGGAGACTCAGTTTCTTTATTTATAGCAGAAACAACCCGGGCATTCTGCTCTGAAAAGAGAACGAGATGGAGGCTGGAACAAGCCTGGAGAAGGGCTTTTTCCTGCAGAAGCATCAGACAAATAACACATGGCTGACCTTAGAGTGTCCTGAGATCTTATCTTGGGGAAGCTGCTTGGAGCTGGGGTCAGCTACCTTCTTGCAAGGCTTTCTGATAATTTTATGACTTGCTGTGGTGTCTGTGGGCACAGCATTTGAATTTGGTAATGGATGAGATTGAAGCTGGGTGCCACTCTCTTGTTGTCAACGTTCTCAAAGTGAACTTTGCGTGAAAGTATGTAAAAGTAACTGTCATCCCTGCTCCCCACTCCCCCTTACCCCAACCAGCCTCCTGTCCATAATTCCATGGCCTCCTTTTTCCTCACTGCCTGGAACAACTGCAGGGGACTGACTCTAGCAAGCCAGGCAGAAGCCTTCCTGCAGCTCTGAGTGAAGAGGACTGGGTCTCTCTGACCACCTGTTCCTCCGGACCTAGGTTGCTGTGTTAAGAGGCCCACACATCCCCCTGTGAGGCCAGTCTCAAGAGCCCACGAAAAGAGAGAAGACAGTGTTTTCGCAACAGAGTAGGACAAACAGTCCTGGGAGCCCTGCTTCTTTCTCCCCAAGCCAGTTTGCTACGTCAGGCCACGTGCTATCTTCCCCTGTTCCCAAGCCCCCTCCCCCCTCCCCATCTTCCCTTTCCTTTCTTGGCTAGTCCATCCAGCTCAGCTGATTCGATGAGACACTGTCTCCTGGAGTCATCTCTTTACCCTTTGCTAGAGTGAGGATGCTCCACTTGGCAGGGTTCCTGCCATCTTGGGATGAGAGACACTGACTGAACATTGTGAGCATGCGCATACACAATGCAAATCAGGTTTACCTTCTACCAAAGAAAGAGAGCCTGACTGCAAGTCCCTGCTGCCCCCAGACTCCAGTCACCTGTCTGTGTAACACACCTGATCCCTTGCCTGTTGCATCTCTTTTCACACTTAGAACCTGGCTCATACGGGGCCAGAATCTACACCTTGTCTCCCCACCCCATCCGACTGCTCCTCTGTCTGGAAAATCTTCCTTTGTTTTATTTGAAGAGCAGAAGTGTTCCTTCCTCTCCCTGGGTGATGAGAAAACATTCTGTTAACTTGGCATCATCTGCACTCCTAGGAGACCTTGCTTGTCTGTAATCTGACCCTATCAGGCTGTTACATAAACCTTCCCACTGGGACACCCAGATCTCTTGGCATCCTCTGCCTCCTGTCCAGTTGTGGGGTTAAAGAGAAGGTAGAGAAGGGTCAGAGATGCTGCACTCAAGTGATAGACTTAGGACAAGAACTGTTAGCTGCTGGGTCTGTCTAGGGTTGGGCTTGATGGTAAAAACTCTGTGGAGGTTGAAGTCTGTCTTTTTCTAGCCTCCAGACACTGGCTTGTTGCAATGTTCCTGTCATCACACTGGAGGCCATCTAAACCCAGCCATACTTCTGGGTCCCGCTGAAGCCTGGCTTCTCTGTGCTTTTAGGGAACTAGTATTCTGTGGGTATCCTTGGCAAGGATATGTATTTATATTTAGGAAGGGAGCTTGCCTCTCCGGAAGGTTATATAGGCTGTCCTTCAGTAAGCTTCTCTAGAAATTGCACATGGAAATGCCAGTTTGGGT